ATTATTATTATTATTATTATTACTATTATTATTTGTTTCTAGCACGATACATACTTTTTTCCACGTAGAGTCGGTGCGGATTTTTTCAAAGACGTAATTCCAGATAATATGATTATTATTATCATTACTCGACTTCCTCCACTGTTTCGCCTTTATTAGTGATCTAACAATAGGGTGGGCTACGCGCAGTATCATATCAGGCTGTAATAACTCTCCACTAGAGATTACTGTTTATTAAACCCTATCCGCACGTCATGTTTAGCTATCGTATCCATACGACGTGGGGAACTCTGTGCCACCACTTTCCAAAGAGGAAATTTACTCGTTAATCCGATCCCTACTCTTTGCATAGCAGTCTGTCAAAATGATCTTTTGAGAACTACTGAAAGTTTCAAAGAGATCTTCGGGCTAGAAGTATTCTAAAATGCGAAGAATACAACTCTGGGGGTACAAAATTAAAATTAATGACCGCACGGATACGGTTAAAGAACAATCTTTCCTCTTACGATTATTACACAACATTAAAAAACCACAATAGACAAAACGAAAAAAACAACAACAACAAAACAAAACAAAGCAAAACAAAACATCTCAAAACGCTGTAAGATTTTTTTGCTTTCTTTTTTTTCATGATGACATCACCGTTGTAGGATGGATTCTACAGATATTACAAGGTTTACAGCTGGGACATTGTCTCTTTTAAAAGCAAGTCCGTCCTTTTTTTCCCTTTCTAATCGCGACATTTTGCTTAGCGAATGCATACATTTTTGAGAACCTTTAGTACAAAAACTATTATGTCCATTGTAAAATTCATTTCTTGTAACAAGTTTTGCCAGTAAAATGTGTCTTTGGTGAGCTGTGACGTTGGCCACATGCGTATGCACAATGTGTGTGAGAAGCTGGAAGTGCTGTGAACAATTCCATTTTCTGCGAGGCGGAGATTTTTAGTCTTTTATAATATAAACTTATGAAAAAGCGTTTTTTTAAAATAAATCAAGCCCCAATTACTCTGGTAAAATAAGTTTAGATTAACACAACTTGATACAAACTTCTGTGCAAATTATGGGTGACGCTGATTCTCCCGTTAAAGAGATATTTTAGAAAAAGTTGCGCCACGAATTTTTGATGGAAGTTTTGGTTACGCACATGTACGTTGCTTGTTGCTTCCATTTTAGTCGCTGGATCGCTCTAGCCGGTAGCATTCCCCGACTAGCAACAAATGTGCTTTCGCTTCTCTCTCTCTCTCTCTCTCTCTCTCTCTCTCTCTCTCTCTCTCTCTCTCT